TTGGCAACTCGATGGCACTGCACTACAATTTGTATTAATCCTTCTGTAGTTTTATATAAACTGTGCAGGTGCTTCAGATAAATTTTATAAAGACGCCAAATTGTATAGCAGGAGTAATCAGAGTTGCTTGTTAATTTGAACCGTGGTACAAAACTGTCATGTTTATCCTACGCAATTGTGGATCTAGATGAAGCAGTTGACAGTTTCGAAAATTTCCTATAGGATACTTGTATGGTATTAGATGACGCGAGCCGGGTCAGGTTGGACGGTGACGAAGCACTCTCGTGTTTTCTATTGAGAGGGGGAGACGGCTGGTGTGTGTGTGTGTGAGAGAGAAAGACAGGAGAGGGTCATAGAGTACAAAATGATGTGATGTTAAACGGCCGCCTTTCTTTTCTTCCTTCCGTTGGCAGTCTTTTGCTGTTTTGGTCTTACACGCGTTATGTGAACTTAAATGCGGATGTATGCACTGGAATATCTAATCAGGTGGTCTAGATATCAGTGTTAAAGAAGTTATGTACTATTACAACATTTTTCTGATAACGATAGCAAAGACGACACACATCTGCGTACAAACACACACACACACACACACACACACACACACACACACACACACACACACACACACACACACACACACACACACACACACACACACACACACACTGTACTCATGTGTGCAAATGGAATTTCTTTTGTGCTTATATTCTGTACACAAGCATAAAGGTCTTTAGCTAACGCACCTACGTATAAATGCACAATGTTACTATCCAAGAAACCCTTGTGTAGAAGAGAATATTTGGCGGAGAGGGGGCGTGGCTCTAATTCCGGCGACAGTCTAGTGTTCACGGTCGGGCGAACGTTGCGTCTGTCACGTCGAACCCCTCGACTTCCTAGATATATACTGTAGAATCCGCCCCTTCCTCCTCCTACATATGAAGACTTGCCATCACATTACACCATTGACATTTGGCTGTATTTGTTGGCCAGCGGTTTCCATAAGACATTTGTTAAATATACCCCCATTCGCTTCTATATTTGCCGCCAAAGGTGTTGGAGAGGCTAAGGCGGCCACGCGGCTTGAGTTTCTAAACCACGTGGTGCCGGTAACGTCTTTAATCTTTCACCGTAGAAGACTGTCTAGCCTCACCAGCTTTCCCGTAATCAGAAGAATGAAATGTACATAGGCTTGGCTTAAGAATATGTCGCCAGATGTAGTTACTGACAAGAAAATATATTTTAAGGTATCTTTAAAATGATGAATGAGTTGCTTGTTTACCTTGATCAGCTGACAGGAGAGTTTTCTTCCCAAGTTTACTATTTACAATCTTGAATGAAATCAGTTGCATCCTTTATAATTTACTCTTTCTTTCCTTGGAAGGTTGGGAGGCCGACCGGTATCCCCGAAGTCGGCGATGGAACAAGAAAAGCGGATCCGACGTGAAATCGCGAACAGCAATGAACGCCGTCGCATGCAGAGTATCAACGCTGGATTTGCCTCGCTCAAAACCCTCCTGCCTCACCACGAGGGAGAGAAGCTCAGCAAGGTATGTTTGGTTCCAAGACTGCTGCTTCAAGTAAGCGTCCTTTAGATGAATCTTATTATTCAGTTGATTTTTCATTTACATATATAAATGAAAACTGGCCGCACTTTTTTTTCGAAAAACAAACAAACATTCACATGGTACAACACCTAGACTATAGTTTTCACAATAATATCAAGAGGGTCATAAACTACAGTGCTGTGTTCTTCCCCACCACGAGCTTACAGGCAAAAACTTTTCATATTTCAATTATGCGATAGTTTTTGTTATTTTGTACTCTTGATCCTGTAGTTTAGGAATATGGATGTCATAGCTGCTTTTAAGCGAAATAACACTTTTAAAATCGATAATTTGGGGGTTTGAAAGACCTTGAACTACAGTAGCCCACAATGTACAGATATGAAGTCAACATAGCTGTAAGAATGGGTTCTCAGAATGAATGATCCCAGGTGGTTTAACCGCAAATATTAACTACTAATTTCCGCGAAAATGAATTTACCGTCTTCATTATATGCATATATATATACATATATGTATGTATATATAATGTATAATATAAATAATAGATGTATATAGTACATATATGTAATATATATTATGTATACAAATATATATGATATATATTGTATATGTATTATATAATATACAATATAAATATAATATATATATATATATATATTATATATATATATATATATATATAATATATATATATATATATATATAATATTATATATGGAGGGACACACCTACCAACATATACCTATGCATACACACACACGGGCATACACATATATACCTGTGTGTGTATGTGAGCATGTTTATTTTTGTTGTGCCTGATTCATGACGAGCCGCTAGATGTATAGGCTTGGTGATAGCATTTAGCAAATGTCCTTGAAGATTTCAGCAGTTAATTTCTACCTATTTACAAACTAAGAGTCAGAATACACAACTGGTGTAAATTTCAAATTGATAAAAAATGCCATTATCACGAGGTAACGGTTTAGTTATGAAGGAAGTCGGCGATCTTGGGTTGACATCAACTAGTGTTATGTGTGCGAGGATGTGTACGTGTGTGTATGTCATGAATGGTGAGAGCGTGGCGGGAAACATCAGCTGACGAGAGTAGGAGCCGCAGCGTTGGTGGCGGGCCGACGATTATTGATACCCGGATTATTTGTCCTTAGGATAAAAACCTATTTAAGCGAATTTGTTACATCTATTAAAGTTCTGTCCATGTTTGAAGCTTGTTTACTTACAAAAGAGACAATCATTCAACGTCAGTCAAAGATTTGCGCTGTCCGCTATATGTGAAGGTGTTTATATCGGGCCAGCTGATTCTGTTTCCATGACAACGATCGACCGGCCGTAGCCTCGCTCCGCCCCACAACGTATAACCGGCGGCCGCGTGGTGTCGCCCGGAAAGATCTTCCGTGTTGTCTTTTTTTTTGCTCAGATAGTCTGGGGACCATTTTTATTGATTGTCTCTGGTACAACGGCATAATTCGACAATTATTTTTGTCGCAAATAACAATTGTTAGAAACATATCTTCCCCGTAACGTAGCGCTCTCAAAACGGGCCCCACGTGGCGGGCATGGGACCCGTGCGAGGCTAGCGGCGACCATGTGGCGCGCATTTCGGGACCCCGCGCCGCTCCTGCATTGTACCTTGTTAGAACTGCATTGTCTGCTTCACAATTTTATTCCCCTAACTCGAAATGTCATAATTTCATGAGTTATTAAAGTATAAGTTAGTATGGAAGTTAAATAATCGGTATGGGATAAGATGGAGTGAGTCACAGCTGGTCGTTTTCCGACAGAATGGCTCCACGTGACCACTCTCAGCTGACTACAGACTTGACGCTTCAGCGTTAAGAAAATGGCGCGAAATATACGGGGTGACCAGTCTTGTCCTTATTATATTTATGTAATATAAGTAGAGCGATAACTTGGTAAAACGTTTATTGAAGGGCGTAGAATCATATAATATTAACTTACTATCATCTTTGTTTTTATGTATAAGGAAGAGATAACTAAAAAGTCATACGAGATAGGGTTTGAGTAGAACCTTGTTGCTAAGTATCATGTACCCGATGACGTCTGGACCCAGGCACCCTGCGTGTTATGTTAGGCCTATGATGAACATATGGGAAATAAATATCCACATTACTTCCTCTGAATTTCGACTTGGAAGATTTATATCGGAATAAAGGATTGTTGCTTCTTGAAGTAGACATTTCGCACAATATTTATAGACACGTCTAGTGAAGGCGGGTCATAGAGGACAAATATTGAAGGCTGTCTCGTGAAGGAAAATGTGTTTTAAATATAATGGTAGGGAGATAATTCCCAAACTGCTGCAAACTAGACTTCATGAATTATTATATGCAGTCTTCTTCAACTTTGATTGTTAAAGCATCGTTGCAAGCAGCCCAGCTGGTAGTTAGCATCAGGTAAAAGGGGAAGAAAAAGTCATTTTCAAGCATTAAATGTCAGTCCTTGGGAAGTTTTAACTTTGACAGATGTGTTTATACATTATCATCTTCAAAGAGAAACTGATACTTTTGAAATTGGTAGTAACGTTTTCTCGAAAGATTTTTTCCCCTCGTAGTGTTATTGGCGCTGGGAAATCTTCGCTTTAAATTCACCACCGTCTTGTGTCCGGCGTTTGCTTCAGACGTGAGGCTAGGATTTCACGTCACTGGCAGTTTTCTTCGTCACCTACGCTCGCTGAAATAACAGAGGCGGGACAGATGCATAAAGTTTTTGTTTTAAGAATTCTGGGGATAGTTGGTTGATCCTGACATTGACAGCGAGGGCGTTCCCAAGGTTGTCTGTAGTTGCCGGCGAGGGATTCACAGGAAATAAATGGCAAGTTACGCGGCGTGAGGGTGGGTCACACTATATTAAGAATGGAGAGCATTGTCTTTTTTTTTTTGTGCGGTTATTTATCAGCTAGAGATGAGTGGAGTTGAAGTAGGGGGAGTGGGAGTACACAGTGGCAACGAGGAGAGAATATCAGAGAGCACGATGGAATTTGGTATATTTTTTTTTTCCCGGGCGGTTCTTGCGTACGAGGGTAAGGCAGGTTATATTGGGAAGGGTCTTCAGTTGTCGCGAATGCCGTCTGCTATGCGTGGACTGAAATGTTATGTTCCTTTGATAGATGTGTTCATTTGTGCGTATGCATTCTCTCTCTCTCTCTCTCTCCTTCCTTCCTTCCTTCTTCCTTTCCTTCCTTCCTTCCTTCCTTCCTTCCTTCCTTCCTTCCTTCCTTCCTCCCCCTCCTCCTCCTCCCTCCTCCTCCCCCCTCCCTCCCTCCCTCCCTCCCTCCTCCCTCTCCCTACTTCCCTCTTTTCCTACCTCCCTCTCCTTCTCGCCCTACCTTCCTCTCCCTCCCCCCTCCCTTTCCCTTCCTCTCTCGCTCTCTCTCTCTCACACACACACTCACAC